CCCCCCCCCCCCCCCCCCGAAATCAGTGCTGCATTCAAACAATCTGCACAGAATAGACCAGACCAGATAAGCCACCTGCATATATTAGTCAATTTATTTCTGCAACATTTTAAATGATTCTCAGTACAATGAAAGCCTTCTTTGGACATTTGGTATCCATGGATACAACATATATAAAAGGGCTTTCAAGAACATAGGATTTAGTGCTATTGTCTAAATCTCTAGATACACAAAGATGCCATCATGTTCACAGATGACCTCCAGTGTCTCCAGGACACTTCTGTTGCCCCAATGGAAAGATTATGAGGGGAATTGCTAGATAGATTGGGGAGAAGAAGGAAAAGAAGAAGATCCAGACAAGGAGTGTGAATGACAGGATGGAAAAGGGGGGTGGGGGGACCTATTTTAGGATTTTTCTATTTAATTCATAAAAGAATTAATAAAAACGTGTGCCATTTTTCAACATTTCCATTTTTAAAGTATTTTATATCCTATTAAAAAGTTGATATATTGATATATGGGGAAAATTGGAAACACGTTTCAAGGGAGTTAAACCCCAAATAAAACAAATATTACAGAAAGTGGAGAAAATCTATTTTTTGTAGACGAGATAGTACAGGCAGCATATAACAGTTTACAACATATTGAATGGAAAAATGAATATACTGGATCCATTTTGGGATGGATTGTTTTCTTAATGTTATTTTAAAGCTGAAATTTCAATAAAGATGGTCCTTATTATTCATGGGGGTTCAAGGTAATGAGACCTTGATTTTTTTTTCTTAAAATTTTGGTCCATTATTTTGTACATTCATATAATATATAGAAAGTACTCCAAAAAAGTCCTGCAAACAGAATCACATACCAAAAAAATGCAGATACAAAATATTTTACCAAGGATAACTAATTCTGGTCTCTATTTACTAACTGTGTATATGTAAAACTTCAAGTAACAGAACCATGTACAATGTATTGGAAAACTGGAGAAACAATCATGTAATTCTATGTATTTCTTTTGAAGAGAGAGGAATATGGATTGGGGAGGTGTAATTCACCTGATTAAGGTGAGAATATGTCATTTATTTTACAGACAAGGGGAAGAAATTAATTTATCTATTTATAGGTGTGGTGGAGAAAATAATCACTTTTTAAAGGTGCATGCCTGAATCTTATTAATATTATATGCTTATATTGCTTTTCTTTTAATTAATTCAACTTCCTGGCTTGGCCGTACCCCATTTTCTGAATGGTCCTACTTACAGTATGGCAGCCATCTTATGATAGTACTTCTGACATCTCCCCAGAATTTCAAATATCCTTTCAGAGGTTCTTAACTTTGCCAAGATTGTCCCTAAGACCATTCATTTCCTATTTCGTGCTCATCACCCATTTGTATTGTTGCTGTTGTCTTCCAGTTTTGGTTGTGCTGTTTGCTGCAATGAAGCGCCAGAGGAAAAAAGAGCCCTTGATCATTTCAAAAGATGATGTCCGAGACAATATTGTAACCTACAACGATGAAGGAGGTGGGGAGGAAGATACCCAAGCCTTTGATATCGGCACGCTAAGAAACCCTGAAGCCAGAGAAGAAAGCAAAATGAGAAGAGATGTGATGCCAGAAACTATTTTCCAGATTAGGAGGACAGCATCTTTGTGGGAAAACATTGATATCCAAGATTTTATCCATCGAAGACTAAAGGAGAATGATTTGGATCCAACTGCACCCCCTTATGACTCTTTAGCAACATATGCCTATGAAGGGAATGATTCTATAGCAAATTCACTTAGTTCTTTGGAATCACTTACCACAGATGGTGGAAATCAAGATTATGACTATCTGAGTGACTGGGGGCCACGATTTAAAAAGTTAGCAGATATGTATGGTGGAGATGAGAGTGATCAAGACTAACTGTCCTCTTCAACATTTCTGATGCAGCTCCAGCTTTCCAGTGCATGAGCAGGGACCCCTTTCCTTTCCTTTCCTTTCCTTTCCTTTCCTTTCCTTTCCTTTCCTTTCCTTTCCT